ATTACAAACACCTGCTGACTTGACAGGCACAAGCTGGTATAGAAAACACATTTGAACTTGGTCACATTTCATTCTGCAAGTCCACTGCTGCAGGTACATGCTACAAGGCAATGCACACTTGTTTTTACATCGTAAAAACCCCATGTCTAGTTTTAATTGCTCCTCTTGATTTTAAAGGGTTAGATCCATTCAGAGGGAGTGATGCACAAGGAGCTGATTTTATTCACCATTCATCAATTAGTTTCAGCTGTTTTGTTGTTATTAGTATAGATTAGTTTTTTTTTTCTGGATTTTGCTTGTTTAAGAACAAGAGGAAACCCTAACATCCAACCTGGGTTATTTTAAAGTGGATCTATGCCATCTTTGGGTTCAGAGCTATTTTCTTATTGAAGAGTCTATGAAAGGGGAGTTTGTATTTTTTTTTTTTTTTTTTTTGTGCTCACCAGGGTTTTTGTGTGAGTGTGTTTTTGTTGGGGAGCACATAGGTGTATTTATTTTATTTTTTATTTCTCCCCTCAAGTAGTCTGATTTATTTAAATAGATTTTAACTAATCTATTTTTTTGTATTATTGTGAACCAAATAAAGTGTATTAAATTTGCAAGCAACACCTCTGCTGATCCTTACAAGCTTATCTGTGTAAAGCTTTGTTAAAGCATCAATTGGAGGGTCTCCCACCACCCACTAGTGTCGTTAGAATAGTTAGTGCTGATTGTACCACAGGTCACACAAGTTTACAAACATATTTGTGACTCATCATATCAAAATGAGGATTAAGTCAAATTTGGTCAAAATGAACTAATTACAATTTCAGATTCCTGCTTTAAAAGCTACATTTTGATACCTGGATCATCCTGGTATCATAAGTAAATTCACATATATGACTTAATTTGTCCTGTTGGTTATGATAATACATTGATATTTGGTCTGAACACTAATTTTATATAATTTTAATGAGGAATTTTTGATATCTTTTTAAAGAGGAAACCTTTATCAGTGTGCATTGCCAATGCAATGCACACTATTGTGATTCGTTTCCCATCCAAGTCATCTCAACTTTGCCATGCTTCTTCTCCTGCATACTTTGTCCTACAGCTGCCATTGTAATTTATATCTGTAAAGCTCCTGTGCCAAATGATGGCTATGCCTTTTGGTGCCTGTAAAACTTATAGTTTTTGAAATATTAATGTTTAATAAATTATAATGGCAGTGAATGGAGCCTTGTTTTGGTCCAATACTGCCCCCTGCTGCCTCTACACAATATGGTACTGCATCATAGTTTCATAATATTTAAACTCAGTAGTTCAGTGATTACAATATTAACATGATTGTATTTTGATGTTTTACTGTAATAATGTCTTTATGTTGTCCTATTGCTGTAATTTATTTCACTTAAGTGTCAATAATTGCATTGACAAGGTAAACTTTTCCTGTATACATACAATCCAATCCCTGGGACTGTCCTCTGCCACATCTCCTATAGTCTCATGATGAGCACTGTGGGCTTTTATGTGGGAGATCAGGGTTCAAATCCAGCTACTGCAACTTTAAAAAAAATCTCTTCCAACTTCATATTGTCACACAATTACMTTAATTACAAACACCTGCTGATGTGACAGGCACAAGCTGGTATAGAAAACACATTTGAACTTGGTCAAAGTTCATTATGAAAGTCCAATGCTCCTGCCTACATTGTCCTACAGCTGCCATTGTAATTTCTATCTGTAAAGGTCCTGTGCCAAATGATTGCTATGCCTTTTGGTACCTATACAACTTGTAGTTTTTGAAATATTAATGTTGAAACTTTATTCCAAATTCATAAAATGGGAGTCAATGGGGCCTTGTAATGGTCCAATACTACTCCCAGCTGTACTCACCTTGGTACTGCACCATAGTTTTTTTTTATTTAATCTCAATACTTCAGTGCTTACAATACTAACATGATTGTATTTTGATGTTTTAATACTGTATATCATTATCTTAATATCGCTCTATTGTTGTAATATTATGCTGTTTAGTGTCAATAATTGTATTGGCATTGTAGCCTCTTTCTGCACACATACAAACCAACCCCTGGCACCACCTTCTGCCACAGCTCCATCAGTCTAATGGTCTGTATGTCATGGACTTTCATGTGGGAGATCAGGGTTCAAAACCCAGCTAATGCAACTTTAACAAAAAAATCTCTTCAAACTTCATATTGTCACACAATTACCTTAATTACAAACACCTGCTGACGTGACAGGCACAAGCTGGTAAGCTTGTAAAACACATTTGAACTCGGTCCCATTTCATTCTGCAAGTCCAATGCTGCAGGCAAAGCCATGCTGCAATGACATGCGACATGGCAATGCACACTTGTTTTTACATTGTAAAAACCCATGTCTAGTTGAATACTGAGATTTCCCAGCTGAAAAGAAACAAAACTTTGCTAGCTCACATGGAAAATCTCAAAATTTAAATAGGCATTTCTCCTCAAAATCAGTTTTTTTGTTGCTACTGCTCAAAAAAGTGCTTCAAATTTTTTGTTTTACGGTTATATTTCAGAAAGTTCATACAAATGATACATTGATAAGGATTCATTATGTTTTTAATCAAAACACTATATTTGCATTTTTCTCCATACACCACTTTTAGACTTAATCCTCATTTTGACATGATGGGTCACATTTATGTGCTAAAATTTAAAAAATAATCACATTTATGTGCTAAATAATTAAAAGAAACAGTATTGGGGAAAAACTAACCAGTCAACTGTGTGTATTTCATAAACATTTGACAATATTTTTAAATCATATATTAAATTTTAAAATCTTTAAAATACACCTTGTAACAGCACTGTTAGAGTTACATAATTCTGTTTTATATGATCTTTATGAGTTGCTGTTTGATTTTCAGGTGATGCTGCTGCAGGTTAGCTGCAGCTCAGTGCTGACATCCAGCGGTGATGATGAGAAACACCATGACATCACAGAAAATCTGCTCTTTCTATAAAACTATACACAGCCACTAAATACATTTAATCTTAAAACATAATATAGTTTATATAGAGATAAAATGCACAGTAAATGGTCCAGGTAGTGGGGTTTTTATTCAGTTATTGTGGGACATAATGGGTTATTTCTCCGTTGCTTTACTTTAAATAAATTGCAACTTTAATTAAAAATCTTTTAAAATGCATGTTTTAACTACATATATTGATGTGTTTTCTGTTAAATCAAAGGTTAGCTGCTGCATAAATAAAATAACCAACCTGTCAGTGAGCTATAAAAGGTGAATACCGACGCTGTTATCAGATTAGCTAAGTTAGCTTTGAGAAGCTGCGAGACCCGAACCGGTCCGGTGCCATCGAGTAAGGCTCGGATGTTCAGTTTTGACCCCGAACACGGCCCGTGTGACCGCGCGGGGACAGCCGAGGCGTCCCCGGACAGCGAGTTCAGATGACGGGACAGGCTGGTCCACACAGGCCGCTCGGCTCCGGGGGGCAGAGGCAGCTGCAGCGGAGTGACGCGTCGCGTCCCGACATCAGCCACAAACCTGACCGGTTCGGTGGAGGAAAACCCACCTGAACTCACCGTTCACCGTTTTCACCGTGTGTGTTTGTCCTCCTCCGCTCCTCTGCTGGTAAAACAGAATTAAGCTAGCTGCTGTTTTCTTCTCGGATGCTTTGCTGAACTCTTGAGCACCGCGCGTCACTTCCGGGTCGCGTCACGTGATCTTCATAGCACAACATCCACTGCACTTTTTAATAAAACAATGATTCAATACTTGTTAATTATAAAGCAGTGGGAAAGACAACATGTATAAAGGTCAAATGAAATATTTTAATTTATTATTATTGTTGTCATTATTATCAGAAACATAAAAATGTGAAGGGAAATTTGAGTAAAAAGCTTAAACTGAGTTATTAGCTGTAAGTAGTAGAATGTTAGCTATAAACAAAGGTAGAAATGAGGGGCTAAATGCTAACAATTTAAAAGGCTAACTAGATCCTATTAGCCCAGTAAATTGCTGGCTAAAAGGTAATTCAAGCTAAAAGCTCAAAATAACAAAATGCTAGCTAAGATCTAAAATTACAAAAAAAAACAAGCTGAAAGAATCAAAACAATAGCTAAAAGCTAAATAGCTGAATGGTACACACAAGCTATACATATCACAAGCCTAGCAAGAAGTTGAAAGCAGCAAAAAGCTACAAAAAATTAGCAAAAAGCTTGTTAGTGTAAAAAAAAGCTCAAAATAGCTAAATTCTTGCTAAAATAAAGAACAAAATGTTTGCTGAGAGAATCAAAGCACCAGCCAAAAACTAAAGCAGATGAATTGTAAACATACGCTATAAGCATCAAAAGGCTAAAAATATAAAAACGATCGAGAAGTAGCAATATTTTAGCTCATAATAAAACTTAACAAATTGCGAATAAAATGCTAACATAGAGTTAGATAAAAGTTAAAACTAGCATAAGTTTAACTAGAATCTATGATAGCTAAAAGCCTAATGTAGCTAAAGCCTGGCTAAAAGTAGCCAAACAGAAGCTAAGCCAGAAGTAGCTAAAACAGTAAGTTTAAATTTGCAAATGTCTAACTAAAAGCAATAAAAGATGGCTAGAATTTAAAAAAACAGCAATGGCTAAAACCTTAAAGTAGCTAAAGGCTAGTTGAAAGTAGCTAAAGGCTATTTAAAAAGCTAAAGAATTGTAGCTAAAATGTAAAAGCAGTGAATAACAGCATGGTGATTGGTGACTAAAATAACAAGTAGCCAAAGGTAAAGCTCAAAGCTAAAATTAACAGAACAGCAGCTAAACAGTAAAATAAAACCAAAATACAGTTGCAAATTTCAAAGAGAGCAATAATTTTGAAGGACTTTAAGAGATCTTTTTGTTTATACGAGTAAAAAATAAACAAAACATTTTTTTAAAAGCAGGTAAGTCTAAATGTAAATGCTGGAAATCACCATTCTGATGACTGCGAACGATGATGTAAGGCTCTTTGAATCTGTGCGTTGAATTCCTAACGTTGCCAAAACGTGTCCGCATCATTTATCCYCCGGCGCACGTAACGGCGCCTCCGATCAAGGCGGTAAATCTTGATGTGTTTCAGTTTTCTGCTGATACTTTAATAAATATAACTGAATCAGATCGACACTGTTTTATAAGGTGACACCGCTTCCCGCTAATAAAACGTTTTCACCTCCTCTCCAGAGATAAGCTCCTTCCCTTCCGCTCGTTGTCACTTTTGCACGCCGGYAGAACTATAAGGAACGGACCCTGTGAGCTCATTATTAAAGCAGTTCTCAGGTCCTAACAGGGAATAAAAAATGTACAAGAAGTTCTGGTTTTCCTCTACTGCTATCTCATCAGAATTTGTTTAAATTCCATGTTTGTTCAAGATAACATAAAGGACACAGTTATAGTTTCATGTCAACGTGATTTTGGATAAAGATGTTGGTGGTTTCTTATAGTCCTTTCAGGACCTTGACGCATCGTTTCATTCAGCCATTGAACTGGGAAGAGTGGGGTCCAAACTGTTATGGTTTTAAGCGCGACCTAAACGCGCATTCGCATGGAAAATGACACTATTTGAATTATTTTAGGATCCATCCCAGGTCGTCAGGTACAAGTTTTCGGCCGGTGTCGTCGGTGCGGAGCAGCACGATGTCTGGTGCAGCCGCCGGGGGAGGCGGCGGCGGCGGCGGCGGAGGCTCCCCCTGCTTGGGCGCAGCGGCGGCCGGTTGCAGCTCCGCCGGCTCTTCCTACGCCGCCTCGGCCGGCGGAGGCGCAGGTGTGGCCGGGAGGCTGCCAGCTCGAGTGCTGGAGCACATTTTCACCTATCTGGAGCTGTCCGACCTGATGCGGTGCTCGCTGGTCTGCTGGCACTGGAACAACACTGTGGCGGACGAGAACAGCGAGGTGTGGCGCAGCCTCTGCAGCCGGAGCCTGAGCGACGAGGCTCTGCGCTCCGACATCCTGTGCAACCTGCCTACCTACAAGGCCAAAGTAGGTTCACTAATGTGAAAAATGGTGACTTGTGTTTTWAAAAAATCACATTAACGATGCTTTGGTTGCGCAAATCTAACATTATAAACATTTAGAGCTTACAGCCAGAACATATCC